ACGTTCTGATTCATGATATTCTCAGAAAATTTGAACTGCGTACTTCGTCAGCCGTACCGCAACTCAATTCAACAGGTACTGGCACAGCCAGCGTTCTGTGCAGATGCTACATGTAGCACGTTACCTTTTCTCCTAGGGCTACCGTCGGCAAATTTGAGTATGGTACTACGACATAGAGGCTGACGGTCAAAGACAGGTATGACCTCGTTCGGAATGGAAAGCAGTTGTTTATTGTCATTTTCATTGCAAATTGGTTCGCTTATATTTATGCAGATTCCACCATACACTCCAATCAATAAGGTTTAGGTCGAGCATGACCGAATGAATTTCTTGAAGTTGGCACTTTAAATCAGACAAGAAACTCGATGAAGGAATATAACAAACCTTTTCGTGCACGAAGAAACTCGATGAAGGAATATAACAAACCTTTTCGTGCACGAAGATCGACGAATTTGCGACGTTCCTAGGGCAAAGCTTACCTTCGTTATGTTCACAGAAAATGCGCTTTTGATAAACGGGGCTTGATGCAGCTTGCACTTTTGGCAGAAGTTGTGATTTAGAGGTAGGTTTGTTTTGAAGATGGTATAGATTGTATTGTGAAGTTAAAACTGAACGCCCAACCTCGTCGTGTAAATAAGTCTTTCTCGACCAAGGGTTGTAGCTAAAGGGCGCGCAAATGGAATTCAAAACCTCGTGACTTGGTTAGGCACCCACAGAGATTGGTGGTACATACACCGTCCCTGCACAGTAGCGGAAACCTTAATCTGAATAGAGTGCAATCCTCCACTGTACCTCTGTCGCAACCACCCAACCTCTGCGCAAAGCCGTGTGATGGTCGAGTTCCAAAAGGCACGTATACAGCAAAAGTACAGCCATGTCTCAGAGCAGTTCTACGAAAAGCCCGACTAGGGCTCTCTCATGATCACGATCATGCTCTTTCGCGCACCTACCCTAGAACGGGAAGAAAAGGTCAAATGAGGAGGGGCAGGGCGAGATGACCTCCATGTCGAAAATTCTCAAGACATTCTCTTAAGAAGCCCTAGCACAATGAGGGACAGTTTCTCAGTGCAATCCTACGAAAGAAGCATCCAGATCCAACTCAAAGAGTCAGAAGAACCTTTGGGATGCGATGCAGGCTCCCATTAAATCCTAACTCGCTCAAGATGAGTCGAGAGCACGATCAGCGCGTCGGTCGACGACTCCTCCTCCTCATCATCGTCGACGTAGTAATTGTTCAAAAACTGCGTCCCGCAGGTTGCCGCCATATCTGTCGACGCACTGAATCAGTGAGTCCTCGGCCCCAATTTCTCCGTGCATCATTTGCAGACAGAGTCAAGGGCATGCAATTGCAGTCAGCAGCATTATAAGCACAGGATTCGACCAATCAGCAGAGCCCGACCGGATCCCGAGGGCGGAAAGAAATCCTTGTCGTTGCCAGCCAAACGCAACATCGAAACGACAGCGCAATCAGAAATCCGGATCCTATCGACTGTTACAAGGCAGTGTTACAAGCTCGTACAAGGCTCCCGCCTTCGTTCCTCTCTGTCCAATCCTCTCAGCATCTGCTCGATACAGTACAAGAACGGCACAAGAACGTCTGTCTACGTTCTACAATGGAGAAGTACGAGGTACAAGAACATTTGTCGGTAAATGCTCTGACCAAGTAGATTCCTTGTGGTACTCTCTTTGTCTGAACTGACATTTTCCGCTGCACCATTATACGATACTTTTAAGTTAGGCTAGACATGTTCAGCGCTAACAGGATCATTAACAAAATAAATGGGAATATATTTTATCCTTGAGTAAGGTTGATTCAATGGTTTTCTTCTGATCAATAATTATTTAAGTATTCTTGGTGATGAATGTTAAGATATCATTTATTAACATATTAAATTTTTTATATTCATCGATGTTTTATTAATCATGTCATGTACGTGAGATTATTTCTCTGCACATCTGTAAATACCCATTCAAATAATTTGTTAAATAATTATTCTTGATTACATATTTAGTTTGACAATTAGTACAAAATAAATGTCGTCAAATTTTGTAAAAACTAACAACTTGACTAACACATAGTGATATTATTTATGTGATGTGATACTTTGATTAAAATTCAGATTTGGACAGAAGAAATAGATTTAATTATTAGAGCAAATTGTACAAAAATTTTTCCTTATACATAATAACATTATATTAGATAATTAATATTCGATATTTTAAAGCAGAAATTAAAACTAATTTTTTATTTCTATATATAGAATTACTCCCAATAATCTCTTCAATGTTGTTTGAATAACAACGATTGTACTCTTCTAGGTTGCAATATTTATAGATGAAATTTTGAAAGATAAAATTGTGATTAACAGGATTTGGAATTTTGAAAAAAAATAATTCGAAATATTTTTCAAATTATAATAGATTTATGGATCGTTTCTAAAAGACATAAATATTTAAAAGTTAAAATAAATTATTTTTATGTAAATTAAAAAAAAATCACAAAATTTAAAACTGTATATAGTTTTCATGATATCATTAGTTTCAACATGTTTATTGCAATTAATAAAATAAAAATAAACCAAGAAATGAATAGAAAAGGGAAAATATACATTCAATCATCATTATTATTCATGCCAAGAGATCAACGTCACATTTGTAAAGAGAAATATATAAACAACTCAAGATTGAAGAGCATAAAAATGAATCAAATAGCACTAAACATTTGCTTAGTGATATTGTTTTTCCTAAATCTTATCTTATAATGATTACTTGATCATCCATGATAATATAGATTCAGACGAAATGAAAACATTGTAATCATATCATTATGTGAAGCAACCAAATTTAAATGCAAAAGATATAAATTTTGTTTTTTAAAATTACAAAAATGATTTCAATTGAGACTGAAATGCAATGTTCATCCAAAAGATATAATTTTTTTTACCTAATTGCTATTGGCTACAAACTTGAGATTAAGAGAAGCACATAAATATGAATTTATGAAATATTATTACATAAGTGAACTTGAAAATCATGACAATCATCACATACATTTGTGAGCAATACTAGCCATTTTGCAAAACATGCACAAAGTTTAACTCCCTTGAATTGACTGATAAAACTGAAATATAAATGTAACATGGTATAAGAATGAATTTTTCCTAATTGTATAACATGTAAACAAAAATCTAACTACACTTATGATAATTATCAAATATTAAAAATTAATAGTTTGATAAAGAAAAAGTCATTCTATTGAAAAGCAATTCATAGTCTATTATTTGAACTGGTTTCGAATATGGTTAAACAAATATTTTTATAGCACTATATTTTCTGATTGGTTTTCCAAATAACTGTTAAAGTAAAGTTTGTGTTGTATCAAATTTATATAATTTTGATAATTAAAATAATTATGATGCTGATATCAGAAGATAAATTTCATAGGATGTAATATTTCGAATCATCCTAAACATGCCAATATGTTTTATTGAATTATAATTATCATAAGTTTATTTTAAATAATTTCATTTATCTAAAAAATATTGATTATTTATAAATACATGAGTGAAAAATTCAATAATAGAGTAGTCAAGTATAAAGTGCTAACTATTTATAGCACAATAATAAAAATCAAGAATTGATGAATTTCATAATAAAAGAGTATGTAAATTCAAGATATAAAAGATCTGATACGCATTCAACTTGTGACGAACAGTATTATTCAAAATGTCCAATTTTTTAATGACCTTATTATTAATAAAGTGTCATCATTTGGGATGTACGCCGAAAGATGCACTCACCTCTTATGTACGTCTAAATAGGCTTGGCCAGTTAACGGTTAACCGGTCCGGAAAATTTGTGGACCGGCTAACCGGTCCAGGATTGGTCCGTAATTAACCGGTCCAGGATTGGTCCGTATCGGTTACGGTTAATCGATTAATCATCGGTCCAGAACCCTACGTGGCCGATGGGGAGGGGCTTAATATCCAAAAATTCTCGATGGCGGAGGGAAAGAGGTGGGCCGCGACTCAAATGAGCCCACGGTTGGACGTTCAGAGACTCGAGCTGAATTGTACCAATTTGTGAAAAAAATTTCTCGCGAATTTTCTCACAGTGAATCACGAAATAGGTACCTCGCTAGTCTGATTCTGCTGCCAGAGGAAATTTTTTTTCCCGGACCGGTTAACCGGCGGTCCGGACCGTGGTTTAGCCTACGTCTAAAGCACTACACATCATTCCCTCGTAACGGATTCAGGCCCGTCAGTTATACTCGGCACAAGGAAGTCATTCGAATCTTGCATCTTCAGATTATAATGTCGAAATTCTTCTGGTCCTTCACAGAGAAGAGAGGAGATTCCACCGCCGAGTAGAGCGAGGGACTGTACTGTACTCGTGCCGCTGTACAACGACCCCGAACGGGGCGCTGACAAGACACGCGGTGAGATGCACGTGATCTTGCGAGCCCCTCCGGCCGAGCAAGAAACCGGCCTGAATAATTCGGACCTTGGACTTTCTCCTTCCAGAAGTGGAAGGCCGCAAGGCCTCAAGAGCATGATCATTCTATTTTCTTCCGAGCATCAAATGTTTCCTTTCCTTTCCATCCAACGGAAGGTGCCGTATCGACGTAATGGAAAATGCCCGCATTCATTAAATAAGTCGCGATTGCGAATCATGGACCCTCTTCGCGTGACGAGCAATCGTCAACAAATAATGCGAATGATGACGACGTATCTGCAGTACCGCGACGACGACCACCGTGCGCGCGCAGGACGTCGTCGTGGGCGAGTCGCCGCCTGTACGACGTAGCCATGCAGCCAGCCAGCCAGCCCGACAGCCAGCCGCAGGAGCGGTGGACCGATGTGACCCCGACTGTACGTGGTAGAACTGCGAGGGTCTACCACGCAGACTGTGCCGCCCGTACACAGTAGGCAGCCCGCCCGCCCGCCAGCAGGCAACATTTATGTTCGAGGAGGCAATCCGCTCGGGCTCGCCCCGAGAAGGCAGTTCATGGGCGTACTGACCCATCGTCCCCCTTCCACGAGAGCTCGGAAGCTTTTCCAGTTTCGCTCCATTGCTCAGGACCGAGGAGATAAAGTTCTTTGTCGCTCCACGGGGAAACAGCACGAAGCTTGGATTCCCCGAGGGGATTGATTGAACGAGGGGAGCAGGGATTTTCGGTTGTGGCGGTGGTGGTGGTGGCTCAGTCATGGAGCTGGGGAAGCAGCGAGCGGTGTTGTTTCTCATCATCTGTCTCGGCTTCGTGTGGAGCATCGAATCTACGAGAACTCACGAGAGATTTTCGCAGAGCTCGTATTATTCCTCTCCCGATGCGTCATTGTCCACCGAGACGCCGGTGGAAGTGAATCCATCGACTTCGACGATCGACCCGAATTCGGTCCCGGGTGTGGAGAGCAAGGAAGAGTCGAAGAAGGATTTCGTAGCTGTGCAAGTCAAGCAGAATGAGGACGACAAGCCTCAGCAGTATTTTGAGCGTGGAGGTAACTACGCGAGTACTGGAGACTTCACCGCAGATGCCAGGCCCTGGTGGTTCAATCCTCAGTACTCGAACTATGGAAACCAGCCGACGGACCGGAACCCGAGCACTTCTGATCCTCGTTACTTCAACAATTTCGAGCGGCCCCGAGAAACGCCGAGTCAGTACGATCGAAGCCAGAGGAACTACGCTCAAAATATGAAAACAAATGACGCCGATTTCATGCCCGTCGATGATCAGACGACTGGTGGAGGATGTCCGACGCAGTGAGTATCGCTCTTTCTGCGGTGCTTGAAATTTCTGCGAGTTTTCATGGCACCTTACTTTTGAATGTTGTTTTTTTTTCCTCTATTCACCTTCAATTCCTCGTCATGGCTCTTGCCCAGGTACTGGATTTCCAATACCCACAGCTGGCCAACCTTCTTCAACGTGAAATCCACCATCGGCGACGCCTTCGGGACTCCAGCCGCCAAAGTTTACGGGGAGACGACCATTCTGCAAGCGCTCTTGGACACACACGACGACGGGTACCACTCTCTGGGACGGAATGGGTGCACTGCCATACTGAACGCTTACAGTCGACCTCAATACAAGTTCTCCCACCAGATGGTGATCGAAAATTTCAATGCGGCTCTCGTTTCCAACAAGGCAGCTGCGCGGCAGGCGGCCATGTTCGATGAAGCGAATCTGCGCTCGCTGAGCGGACAGTCCGACTCGTGCCCCTAGTGAGCGAACTTGTACAGCAATGTCCATGAAGGACGGCACTCTGGACGACTCAGAGGAGCGCTTGCTGTTGAAAAAGCTTCATCTCTTCGTGAGCCAATTCGTCTCCTCTCGATTTTGAGTTTGTCGAGGTAGTCTGGGAAACTCGTCGCAGCGGAGGCGCAATGCGAGATCGATGCGACGGTTTCCATTTTCTTACTATAGTTGTGAATTAGCAGCGATCGACTGTTACTGCCCTCCAGGAAGGGCTTCTGTAATATAACTCGTTTCCCGGCTGGTGGGTATAATAACAATGTCAGTCTTTGAACTCTTCGAGCGTGTCTATAGATGTAGCTCCGACATGATTGTACTATTACATCCTTCGATTCCATCCTCCCTCGCAGTATCTCTTGTCCTCGATCTGAGGCCGTCCGTTCGTCCGTCCGGACTTCATCCAGCTGCTGAATTAATGCAACTTAAGCTGTCGGAGTGTAAGTGATATCATCTCAGCACCTCGATTGTCATGTCGTACGCCGTCAATGGACAAGACAAACTTAGATATGGCTCCTTGGCTCCCACCAAAACTTGATTATCGAAGCATTCGTCCGACTTTTTCGACCATATTCTCAGACTTCTGAGGAAAAAACGCTCACGAAGATTTTGTACGAGACTTCTTCATAAACTGCGATGAAATGTTCCCGGCTTTTACTGAGACAAACGTTCTCAACTCCCCGTGGAAAGTCATTGTCCTTTGTACAAACTCCGTCCACCAGAAAGACGCACGGGCCGATAGGGTGGTACCGGTCATTAGTGGTAACGGACCGAGGTACAATGAGACGTACGTGGTGAAGGAGGAGGAGAGCGAGGTGAGTGTTTCGTACTGCGATGGGCTACGTCGTTCTGATATGACGGCATATCAGAGTCGGATGTCTACGTCATGGGAATCTGCATGCATGGCAACGAAATCCGCCACATGCGAAGAGTTCCACGAGGAGGATATTTTCTCCTCTGCCTGAATGGAATGGGGGGAAAATAACGTGAAATTCATTGCAGCCTTCACGGGACTGTAATTATGGCCACCGGATTCGATACAATTATGGTCATGACATGCCGTGAGCCGACTGTAGTACCAAACGTCGGTGGTGTAACCGCAGCCGATAAATTTGCTCGAACAGCTGCGGGGGTCAGGTAAGAATGTACTTCCATAGGGGCTCGCGACATGTGGCGTGTCGGCATGTGAGTGTACGTCTGCATTGAAGATTTGAAGAGCGACGGGAGGGAGGCAGTTCGGTCATGTCATCTCGCCTGCGGACCATTGAAATAAATTTCAGCCTCGCTCGGATCAGAGAGCGGATCACTTAGATCTCATGCTCCGGCTCAGAGGTCCACTGTCATGGAACGAGATGTTCTGAAGTCGCCATTACACTCGAGTGATGCAAGTAACCTGCCCTGTGAAGTTTGGTGACGGGTTTTTCAAGGTCCAGTCACTGGCCTCCGTCATCCCTGCTGATTTCCTCGTCACCCTCTTGTCTTTGAGGTCTTGATCCACTCCCCGAATTCTTGGCTTTTTTATTTTATCCACTTCGCGCCCTTTACCCTTTAGGCGTTTTTGTCTTCCGGAGCTCAACTTTTGCCCATCACGACACTTCTGTATATCCATTGAGCATATTCGCGATAATCGCAAATATATGTTCAGAATAAGCTCCATATGAGCATTATACAAATCGGAAATTTTTAAAGGTTTCCACTGTAATTTCCGATCATGTTTGAAAAATAAAATCAATTAAAAAACTTTTGATCCTATTTCATACATATTGATTTAAGTTTATTCAAATTTTTAATTTTGTATACTATCAACTTTCATTGGTTTTTTTATTCTGAGATTATTTTCATGCATAAAATGCTTTTATTTCACAGTAATCACACAAACCAGATTTTTTCAATGCAAAACCTTCATTTTTGTGTATAATTTTTATTTTACATTTCAATTTTTTATACTTTTAATTACAGCCTAAATTAATGATCATGAAGAATATTCATAAAGATAATCACCAAAAAAAAATGTATGCACATTCGATGAATTTTTATATTATATTTGAAAAAATTTTTCAATACAAAATTAATAGCAAAATCCACATCCATGAAAATTTCAATTTTCATCATAAAAAATTCATCCATGGTGTTTTAACATTGCAATTAATAGAATGAGGATATTTTATAAAGATTTTTTTTTTGAAAAATGAAAAACAATAATAAAAATTTCTCAGTGTGAATCCTATAACTCTACACACCTAAATGTTATCAACTATACTCAAATTTTAAACTATCAGCTGCGAGAAATATATTCTTTAATCCATCCAGATCTATTACTTTCAAAAATTAATGTATTATTAAAAAAAACTCATTTTTGTACTATATTGAAATTTTTTTGTAAAAAAGGAATTGAATACAGTGTATTTTCCTTTGAATTTTCATGGTACAAAAATAATAATTGTTATATAAAAATATATGATTAGTTATACAACCTTCTTCATATGGCAAACAAATAATGTTTCATATAACATAGTATAACATGTTGAATGATCTTTGAATGATAAAAAAACGATAATATGATGATCATTTCAAATATAATCATATATTATATTTAATCCTTAAAAAAACCCGATTTTATGCATGAAGAGATGCATATGAGGATATTGACAATGATTTTAATTTTTTATGAGGTAGTGAATGGAAAAATTAAAAATTTTGCTTTAATGAATTCAACATGATATCTTTAAAAGTTAAAAGTTATGATCTTCAATACAAATTTTTTAAAATTTCATGATTTAAAAAAATAATTAAAAACTACAAATAAAACTGTTTCACATATATGTCATGAGTTTGTAATTTTTTTTCGTTAATTATTTAAATTCCAAAACACATAGTATTTAATGTTTTCATGTTTTAAATTGATAAATATAATTATATTTTTTTATTAATCTCAATTCTCAAAAAAAAAATTAGCTTCCCCTTAATTTTTTACAAGCATTTATTTTATTTTTTTCTATTAAATTGAAAACACTAATCTAGTTTCACATTTTATCTATATGAAACTAAATAAAAAATACAACATGATAGTCATATATTACATATTCAAAAAAGAAATTTGATACTTATTTTTCAAGCTTGTAAAAAAGTATATATTTCATCTCATAGTGGTAACATCAAAACCGGGTCGAAATGAAGAAGGATCGGCACGTCGGATCGCAATTGGTTCCATCAAATAAATTCCGTTATTTTGAGACGCGTAATGGAGAGCAGTCGAGAGTCCGACCTGTCTGAGTCCAGTCCAATGAAACGTCCTAAAGCTCGAGAAGATTGTAAGTAGAACGATGCTTGATTACCAAACTGTTGGTGTGACCACCTGCCGGTGCCAAATGACGAGTGTGGTTGGAGATTAGCATGGAGATTTTTATGTTGTCTTTGAAGCTGGGATAAAGTTCCACCAGGAGGTGAGGGCAGAATAGGGCAGGTCAGTAAAGAGGGAGTGAACGGCCGTCTGCTTACAATAATTAGATTGAAACACCATAATTTATATCTATAATAAGTTTTCAAGATAAACATTCATAAGTATCTTTGGAGAACTCATAGTATATCATTCAAGTGAAAATAACCAAAGTTATTTTCATTTCAATCAAGAATTTTGATATAAAAAATAATTCAGTACTTTCGTCAAATGAAACCATTGTCAAAGATTGATTATTGTTGTTGAATAATGATAAATTATTTCAAGATTTATAAGGTTGAATTTGATCACATGCATCAAAACATATAATCCGAATTTCAATCATGTGAAGTGACGAAAGAAACAAGGTGAAAAATATGTAGGGAAACTGTAGATATAAAAAAATAAAATAAGTGCGTCAAAGATATAAAAATGAATTGATTATGTAGCTCATAATCAATGTCACCTGAAGGCAATGTTTGAATCGTTTGCAAGATATTCATCCCCTTGAAAACGGTATAGATCACAAACGTGGAGCGGCAGATGAATGAATCAGTCTTCCACTCCAAGGTATTGGGAGCCATACATGAATGTGTAAATCAGCTTTGATTTCCAATTCTCAGCTATGGGCAGAATGTACAGCATCCTGTATGAAGAGCGAAGTGCGCTCGACCTGTATCACTATCTGGAGAATTGAGCTCCTGTTTCTATCGAGAACCTACAATTAAAGATGGGATATTAAAGAATACTCATCACTTCAGCTTTATGACGAAGGGGTACAGAATGATCAACACCGACTGTTGACGGAAATTCTATGAGATGGAGCTTTATGATTGTTTCGGGACACAGAATTTGTTAGCAATCCCAGAAAACAGCCTCTACGAACTAATTTGGAAAAAAGAAAAACCGGCACTCAAACATTCTCCACCTGACATTCACCCAAAAACCACATCTTCTGTGCTTTCAGTGGAATCCTCACCAGAACAGGGGAATCTGTAACCGAAGAAGTGGCAGTTACTTCAGATAAACCAAAGGGGGAAGAAGGCACAGCACAGTGTTGCCCACCCGCTCCTGTAAACTGACCGCAGGTTGAAGATAACCCGGGTCAAAGCATCCAAGTTCCCATTTATTACCTAGCCCCTGTGCTTGAATCTTGTATAATAGGTTAGGATACTATAAGGGCGGTTTCAAATAACGATATGGGTCTTATTCAAGAGTATAATATTTGTCATGAGAAAATAACTCGCTTTAGTTTCGAGTAGCTTATCCGGAAACTTTCACAAGCTTTCAACTCGTATAATCGTTAACACCACCACCTATTTAGCGCTATATTATTGATGACGAAGAGAAATAGATTCTAGAAAAGAATACGTTTATTTATAATCATTTATGCTGCTAAACATGAGGAGCAAAATTTGTATTTAATTTCAACGCAAAATTTGAATAAAAAATGCTGCAAGACCGGATGAAAAGATTAAATATACTAAATTTCTAGATAAAAATAAGTAATTTCTTGTACGTTTTAGACAAAGAAATATCAAAATTTATGATAAAAATCATAAAAAAATCTGTTCAGTTCAAAATATGTGACAAATTGAACGTACTATAGAATTATATATAGAATTAGAACTATTTATACTAAGAATAGAAAAATTCAAATACATACTCAATGAAGATTTTCATAAAATCAATGTCTTGCTAATTATATGATCAAAAGCTACTATTTTATGGAATGTTTTGCGTAATAATATATATGAACTAAATAAAAACTTCTGTTTAAAAACTTTTCAGTTCTTAGATTATGTTAATGAAGAAATTCATGAAGTTTTAATTTAATTTAACCCGAAATTCATAAAATAATAAAATAACAATCCTCGTCATACCTTATATATGTATATTCAAAAACGTTAAACTGAAAAAAAATTCGGGCTAAATTTGTATATATAAAAAAGTGTCTTGAAGATTAAGTCAAAGAAAAATTGTATATATATATATATATATATATATCCTCATTGGAGTCAAAGCATGTACAAACACATGACATCAATATTGGCTTTTATTGATAGCCTTGTTTTTTATTGCTTTCTTTTTTAATTGGTTTTTATTGTGTTTATATATCCAAATGCTCAATGATTTTTTTTGTGTTGACTGCTATTCATTCTAATACTTCCTAATACTTTTTTCTTTTGTGCGCATTTTATGTTTTTTTACAGATATACGCAAGAAGAAATATATACAAATTTTAGGTCAAAATGAGTCTTTTCCACGTCACTAACAAAGCTCTACACATTTGATTTGCAAATCATGATGAATTTGCTAGGAGTTAAATGTGGGATCAAATTGATACTCTTATTTATCTCATGATCTTTTTTTACTGCTGCTTTCTGATATGGCTTTTCTAACACAAGATCGATGATTTGTCTAGAGCTGAAGTTTATGTACTCAAAGACAACATTAGTTGAAATAACTAACCACAAACTGCTTGAATCATTGGAAAACATTATAAACATAAAGAGTTATACCTTAAAAGAAATGGCAAGAAAATATTTTGCAATGTTTCTATAAATGGTGAGGATTTCAAGGAATAACATTTAAGATTTAGCATAAGAAGATAACGGCCATGAAGTAAGAGGAAATAGGATGTGACAAAATTAAATATGATGGACATGGTGACTATTTACCAGAGGAGAGACAAGTCAAAGGCAAGATGAAAGCTACAAATATGTACAAGATGTTAGGACCAAAACCGTACATCCACAACAAAGACAACTAGAAAAACCTTCAAGAAAAGATTGTGATTATTATTAAGTACATGTATAACATTTAATTCTAAAGCAAATATATTGATATGATGCATGTAATATCCTATTTGAGACTCTTGAGCTATAATTAAATGTCTTCTTGAAGCTAATGAATTTTGATATGCAAGATTTTAATATAAAAGTTAAAGATCATGAAAATGTTTTTGATAATATTATCATTGATTTTTAGAATCTTGAATTGGTGATACATAATAAAGATAAGTAATTTTATGTCTTAAACTTATGAAAATTCTTATCAGTCATATCACATGTATTATTTTTTTTAGATGAAAAAACAATCATTTACAACAAAATTGTAAGTGCTTTAGATCAAAGGTAATAAAGTAATCTCTTCCATCTTCATCATTTGATACAACATTGCATATGACTTAAATTTGTTCAGATTAGTAAATGACAAGTGTTTTTTAGCTAGAGGTAGATTCAAGTTGAAGAATAAATATCAAGAAAAAAACCATAATATTTTAGAAATGTAGTACAATTATCAGTCTTCTAACATTAAAGATTTTTTATCTATTCAATTGTTTAATGTAATACAACGTACATTGATTTAAATAAGATTTGAAGAAATTTAGTTTATATGCATATTAAATTGTTGTATACATATACAGAGTTAAATCTCCCAATCGTTTCACCTCTTATTAGTGACATGCTACTAATAGTGACAATAGTAATGAATAACCATTACATTCTATCCAATAAGAATGGACTTGACACTATTGGCAAAAATGTCGATTCCAACTATAATTTTCAAAAAAATTAATTTGAATTTGATTCTTTATTGCTATTATTCGAGCCAAACTCTCAACCAATTTTGCCTCTTGTTTGCCGCAAACATGGCGTGGAATTGCACCACGCACCCTGACTTGACTTCCCTTTGCCGCCCCAAGCTTTCCTTGCAGTCGCTGGCTTGCTATGTCTGCACTTTCTCCACACCTTGCTATAGTAAAAACCCGAGAAAAAATGAAAATGATGGTTTTGTAACCTCAATTTATTAAAATTTATTTTTCTACATAATCCCACCATATAACACTGTCCATTCTTATTCTTGTTACATTATTTTCATTTTGTTGTTTCAACCATTTTATAGGTTGAAACAACAAAAGACACAAATCTCTATCTTGTTAGCTCTACTTGCTCACTTTTCACAATTTATAATCCTGATTTATCTCAAAGATCTTAGTTTTGCTTGCTCACTTTCCACAATTTATAACTCTGCTTTACATTGGCGACCTGAAATTACGCTTATTAAAGACATTCTGATATTTGAATTCAAAGACAAGTCGTCAAGAATGATATTATCTGTCAGATCATCCACTAAATATTTACCGAATCTGCTAAACGTGCAACAAGAATGTATCTATATGATCCGCTAAATACTATCCAATCTTGTGGGAGCGATACTTCCTAAAACTCTAAAACTAATGTACGTCACTATTAGGAGGTTTAACTCTGTATACATGTTGCATGAGTGTAAAGGAGACATACAACATGTTTGACAACTCATTGAGCAATAAACCCATCGCTAAAGATATCATACAATATGGTATCACTTTCATGGTATCCACTTGCTATGTAATCAAAACTTGTAAATGTAGCATATTAATACTCATAGTTTGCTGATGAAGATATTTCTAATTGTCATTGTTGAACAAATTAGACTAAAATTTATTATCTAAATCAGTAGCCTTCATCTTACTTTTCACTTGGTTTTTTAAGAGCATATAGTCATCACATTTATTGTATTTGATTATGTCATATCTTTATACCCCTTCTCTTCATAGTCACAATTTTTTTATTGAATTCTTGAAATTATACATTGTACAATTTGTATAGATGATTTTTTTCTTCACTCATGTGAAAACTCATCCACCAAGAATACAATTCTAAAAGTTAAGATTGAATCTCTTACACCAAAATTTTAGTTACTTTGTTTATTGTCAAGTAATAAATATGCTCATTTGAAATTATAACAGCATCAACTGTGAAATTTTCTCTTCTTTGAAAACTTGCTATTATGTTTACACTTAACAAACTTATAATGAGATTAGCCTATAACGATAGATGGGAAGATCCATGAAGCAGTAGAATTGATATCAGTGACTAGTTTATAGTATCATTAAAATGAAAAAAAATGTGATCCAATCCATGGAATATACCATTTCTTCGCACCAAATTATCTACAAACAACTAAATCATTTTGATGTGGCATCATATCCCTCGAATACTTTCGCATCCGGACAAAACAAAACAACAAGGCGATGCCTTTGCTATGATGCAATGATTGAATCGCCATTTTCATCCGTTTCATGCAATGGAGCGAAGCCCAAAAGTTTCCACATTCATCGAATATCTTACCTTCTCCCCAACATATGGAAATCAAACAGTAGATACCGAGAGCAATTACATCTCTGAAACAGTGTCCAGTAGCAAATGCCAATTCAATTATCGTAATCGAGAACTCCCATTCATAATCGCATGAAAATTTGAGCTACGTCAAAGTCCAACACGTTTCCTGGAAAATGGAATGCCGAGGTAGGGATGGGTACGTAGCCGGCTTGGCCTCAAATTTAGCCGGCTAGCCGTCGTCTAATCTGCTCTCACCCGAAAATGCAATCAACCGAAATATTCGTCCGAAATAAATGTTTATTGAATAAATTTGATCAAAGCTGAGGAAATAATCGGCCGAAATCGTAAATTCGGTCCGAGTTTACGGTTTATTTTCGGTCTCTGATAGATATGGCAATATTTATCGGCTAGCCGGCTAACAAAAAATATTAGCCGGCTAGCTGTTAGCCGAGCCGTGCCCATCCCTAGGCCGATGAGACCGCGAGCGAGACGGAAATGAGCAACGAGAGTCGGCTGTTCCCAGAGGGTACACCGGAGGGAAGACGAGGGCACATGGAAGGGAGTGAGGGCCACTCGCGGAGCAGCGCCGGAGCGGAACACGGAGCAGACCCAACAGTGGCCACAGCGGCCGGCCCCGGCCATGCGACATCCGATCGATAGGACGGGCGTGGCGCCTGGCCCGGCGACAGACTGGATAGCGCGGCCGGCGGCCCAGCCTTAGCTGGCCTTGGCGCCCGCGCCCGTGCCCGTCGCCTCCTCTGGCCCCTGGATCCGATTGCGCGAGAGAAAAGCGAGCGCGGGGGAGGTACGGCGTGGGGGGGGGGGGGGGGGAAGAAGCTTCGTTAAGCGATCTGGCGCGGCTGGCTGGCGCCCCGGGGCGGACATAGAGGAGACGAATACAGGGCAAACGCTTTCTGGTGCCCCTTATAGCCCAGCGAGATTGGAGGATTCCCGTGGTCCACATTGCGAGAGTTTGAGGAGGCGGGAAGGTTTTTGTCGAGTGAATCCGTTCGAGGGTGGAGAGATTGCGTCCGTGAGAGAGGAAGAGAGGGGAGCGAGATCGGAAAGCTGCAGCGCGTGGGAACGAGATCAGGGGACGGGTCTGAGAGAGAGTGACGGGAGTGGGGGAAGAGTGATTGCTCACTCGACTGGGACTGAACGTTTTCAACCGACAGTGAGTGTCGAGCTGAGTCAACTGATAAGTGGTTGTTAGTGATTGTGAGGCATCCAGTTCATTCTTCATATCGGGGAAGTGAGCCAGTGCATGATGGGAATGTCCAGACCGTTGTATGCGATTGTGCTCGTGTGTTTGGTGTGCAGTACGTTGGCCAACTTTTCTAATGGAGGTGAGGCCATTCTCGTCCTGACTTCCGGTTATGTGTTCTCTTCTGTAGAGCACTTTCCTTATCGAAGATTCGTATGGAATGTTTGACTCCCGCTTCGATGCGATCAGTAAAATCCCGAGCATGTTTTTGGAGCTCAGTTCGTTTCCTTCTTCAGTCTGGCTCGACTTCATTTGAAAGACTTCTTCGTAGAAATGTGACTGTTGTCTACCAATGTATGCCTCTGATAAGAAACAGTACAGTACGGTTGGGGAGACGAGAGTAGTTCAGTCAGTCACACGGATTGGGATCAGTTTTGCAACTTGAGTTCTTTCCGTGTTCTTTCGTGAAGAATGCAGTTTAGTATTCTGTTGGAACAAAGGTTTATTTCTGTGGTGCTATCTAAATACAACACAATGCATTTGGGAAGCAACAACTAAAATTCTTGTTGATTGGACTCGCGGTTCCACCGTGCTGTGTAATTCGGTTTTTCCTAACTATGCAATGTGACCGATACGAATGCGTCTACCTGACGCGGGTAGAGCTTTGCGTGATCACTTGTTGGGATTTATGAGCTGAAATCTGACGTCAAACGGAATCGATTGCGTAGGTTTTGATGTAATTTCCTGGCTGTTACAGAGTTCGAAGCTAGTAAGGAAGATTCCAGGAGTGGCGGGCGACAGCTGTTGCAGAACAGTCAATTACGTGAGTATACATTTGGCTTTTCTCTAGAGCGATGCATTCTAGAATATGCGATCCTCATTGGGCCCTTTGGTGGGATGAAGGTTTGTATGCTTGTACGTTCTATTGGTCACTTCCCTCTGCAAGAAATGATGCTGGATTTAATCGGTTCCGCAGTAGTTGGAGGTCCTGTTATGTGAATGAGTCAAGAAATATGCCACCACAGTCGGAAAGTTTTATTTTCGGTAATCTTCAGATGTTTACCATCAGCCGACTTTCACACAGCATTCTCTAGACTTTGTACAGCTCGTTACAAAGACTCTTGTTTGGCTGTACGTGTTGTCTCTTCTTAGTATCTTCTCTGGCAGAATTCAATGCCCCTAATGCCTCTGTGATGATAAAGCTGTTGTGCTCTGTCTGCACTGATTGGAAATAATCTGGTCAAATTTTTTCTTTTTCTTGCTAAGTTCTCATAATACCAATGTTCAAATTTCTATATAATACCCCGAAGTGCACTGGCATTTTCCGTAGTATATTCGTATTCCCACCCAAAGTTATCCTGATCATACCTTTAAAACTCCAGTTGATCGTTGTTTACCACGTCATATCGAAGCTCTGACTTGAAGAGCTACCTATGCACTTTAGAAAATCTAGGGGAGAGGAAACTAACTCGTGTCGTGTTTTTTCTTTGTTGCAGCCTGCCCTGAAAACTACAACTTCTTCAACTTCACTCCAATTCTCACTGCGTGCCCCAGTGAGAACAACATCTCCTTAGTCGGCACGTTCAATGTCAAAAAGTGCTGTCAGTCTCTCTGCACAGTGCTTGGAGCAAATGGGAGCGTGATCAACGATGCTAACTATGATTGTGCCGAGCAGTTTTTCTCATACTTGAGCCTGGCAGGAAACTATAGTGGAGGATACTTTGCAAGTATATGTACTGACCCTAATTCGCCTCAGGGTATTTATTGTCCCCCAGTCGAGACAGCACCGCCACCAAGTAGCGCCTTTTCCGTAGGGGCCAGCCTTTGGTCGTTCCTTGTAGCGTTAGCAGTGTTCGAAGTACTAGTACTTGTAGTATGACATCCTGGTTTAAGTTGTCGGCATTTTGTTGCACACGTAGTCAGTAGATTCCGAAACCTGTAAAAATCAGGTCCCTGATTTTTGTTGTAATAAGGCAAACTTAATTAATTTTCCATTTGATATGCCAGGCTTGTGCAAATTGCGAGCAGGAACCTTCATTGGATCTGTACTCTTTCGGTTTTGCACTCTGCTTTTGGACGAATTTTAGCAATCCAGCGAACGAACAGAAAGACTTGATTTCAACCACACTTCACTACTGATATCCGACTGAACCACTTCTGTGCAATGTGCTACTGTGCTTCTCAAGATCTGAAAGTCCGCTAGTAAATTTTCAAGTGATAGACCACCTTTGCATATATTGCACTGTCTTATATTCTATCATGGAGCTGTTAAAGTGATGCTCTTCTCCTACTTTGCACCAACGGATCCACAAATTTAACTCCTGAGATATTGCGCACACTAGTGGCCGTGGCGAGGTCGACAGTGACACAGAAATGATCCAGTAAGGGGTGTCCTCTTAGACAAGAAGTCAGTTGCTATTCAGGCCTCTGAGTAGATTACTCGACTCAGTATTCACAAGTTAACAGAGATGGACGTCACGCCGTATGTCCCGATCGACATATGGCATGGCCGCCTATGTAATGTCTGTGGATCCATTACACTCTTCATACCTTGACTAGCTGTTTCTTGCAAGACAAGCATGGCTTAATAAGCGGACACCGCATGAAAAAGTTGGCCCGCACTTTGATGGCAGACGATAGTTCCCCTAGAGGAATGCAACTTTTCCGAACCCATTTCCGACTGGACGCAGGTGTCCTTGGAACTACCTGCAACACTGCAAGGGTTTTGACCGTCTGTGAGATGGAGTACAGACCATTGGTATTATGATTGCTTTTAGTTGAGTATTAGCACTAGATTTTACGTGCAGATTGTTATCAACTTTGCAATCAAGAATGCGGTTGCAAATTACTGCAAATCGAGGACGCTAGACTTACTATTTGGGACAAGAATTCGAAGCCTTTCCCGCACACTTGTTCGTCAGTCCAACTTGTCGACGTCTCCTCAATCCAGTAGGCGGCCTTTGTGATTGTGGTGTCTAACAACAGTAAGGAAGATCATCGTCAGGGAAGTAGGATTTCCTTTCAACAGAACCATCGACAGCAGAGTGCACAAGACAGCTACTTGAAGTCTCGCGATATTAGTTCGCGGAATGCTTCACTACCGAATTAGTTCGGTTAGGTGTTCGGGCACTAGGCTGTTTGTGCAACGAATGCCTATTCATGCAGGACACAGAATCAGAAGCCTTATGGACTTGTCAAGAAGTGTGAGATTTACCAGTGGCCTTGGCGGTACAGTTGAGTAAGGGATTGGCTTCTTTGCGCTGTGCACACCAGCATGCCCCAGTTTCTTGATAGGCGGTCCCATCACAGCCGGAGCTGACTTAGTCGAGAACTCGCCTTGGGATACATACGAATCCCTCCCAGTGCTCACAGATCTCGTATGTAATGCAGCAAGTTTCCAGTCTAGCCTCTCTAAGGAAGCAAAAATCTTCTCTTCCTCTTCCGTAAGAGCCCCACTCTGGCTTTTGCGATAATTTTCCTTATCTGGAGAAGAATCAAATCTTTTCCCAAATCCCACCCCCCTGGATGCGTCCTGAAGGTTGTTCTCCGCCTGATGGTAGCCAGGCTGTACCGAGTGCGTCTGCATGCAATTTCTGTACATGGGCTGAGAGATTCCAAGGTTCAGATGATGCAATGGCAACACAGGTAATTCCACTCTGGCTCGACAGGAGTTTCCATTTCCTTCGGGAATGATAGGAGGACGTCTAGAGCAGCTCTCAATCCTTTGGCGTTCTTCTCGTAGACTGACGGAATCCTCGGTTTGTTGCTGGCGTACAGAGTTCTGATTGGCTGGTAATCTCCATTCTCCTATACCAGAGAGACTCGAAGGCCTTGCTTGCTGCTTGATCTGATTGCTGTCCTTTCTATTATTGAGCCATCGGTCTGTGTGGTTGTCCCAGTCTATCTCCCAAACTTGAGGGCTGTCTTTCCTAGACTTCACGGTCGTTGCTGCCTTGCCTTCACTGGTTCCTGCAGGACTTTCCTCACTACCTGCTTTCACCTCTTTGTGGTACGTACAAGCCTCTCTGGTAGCCTGGAAACTGTTCCCTTCAATTTTCTCACAAGATTCAGGGGAGCTAGCAGTCACGAGGTTCCAGTCGATTTCACTCGAAGTTTCGGTATGTGGATTATCAGCTGCTGCTGCCATGATCTTCGAAGACCTGTGACTCTTTTGATCCTCGTATGACCTTGCTTTCTCTTCGTTCCTAGAATTGGTCTCGGTGCTGACCATTTGCATATCATGGCAACTCTCGGGAGAACCGACAGTTACAGTGTTCCAGTCAATGTCATTAGACGGTTGTGGATCTGATGCGGCAGCTACTACCTTCTTCTCGATTACTTGCTTGCATGGCTGAAACGCCTCATGCTGCGGTTTTCCGAGACCATTCTCGTTTCTGTCTGTTGTTGTCTTCTGAAATGATGCTGATGCTACTTCATCACTGTCGGATGAAAAATTGCTGTCGGTTTCGCCACAACTTTCACCAGAAAGGGGATCGGTATCGCTGGTGTACTGGTTCAGCTCTCCAGTAATCCCTTCTGATTCGCCCTCTCTGAAGTCTAAAGGTTGCAAGCTCCGGTTGCAATCCTCCAGACGCGATTCAATAGCGCTTACTTCGGCTATGAGTCTCGCTGTGGCAGCTTCATTGGCTAGGCGTGCTTTCAGAATCTCTTCTCTGAGATCGCTATCAGGTTTGGAGCTGGACTCTTTTTGTCCCAGAGCAGCCGAACTGGCAGCACGACTGTAAGCCTCAGCATGAGATTCTGCGAGCTTAGATACGACTCGGTGATTGCTTTTCGTCGCGGGAGCTTGAAAATGCTTCTCCAATCGGAGACCTGGTTGGTGGTCATCCTCTTTCTCACTAGCGATAGCGCTGAATCTCTTGGCCTTTGCAGCGGGTTGATATCGAACCTCTTCAGCCATCGAGGCATATGTAGGAACATCCCTACTGACGCTCGTCATATTAGGCTCATCCTATCTGTCATTTATTACTCATAAAGATCGTGAACCGTGTTGTGCTCCTACATCTCCAAAGAATGGCACGTGCAGTAGCTCGAAGTCAAATCATTCGTGTGGTAGTACTTTACGGTAGTGGCTGAATTTAAACACTAGAACATGTCGATGAACGAGTTGATTGCAATCTGATGAGATTAGAGCTTTTTTGGTCATAATCTAAGTAGCATCATGTGACATGGCTTCGTATCATTAATGAAGAATTTGTGGTGTCTGGTAGAGGGTTAGTTGGAACTCACGGAGCCCAGATAGCACTTCTCAGAGGCTCCGATCGGATAGAGCCTTTGGCTGCAGAAGCTTCTGACACTTGATCCGAATCGTTGTGGTCCCTCTCCGGGTTACTGTAAATTTCATACGCTGTGTCGTCCATGTACCTCGTAGCCATCAGAAAGTTGTGCTCTGGTGCATGATATCCCTTCCGGTAGCTGTTGGTGTAAGTGCCGTAGTGCTGGCCCTTTTCACTCCCTTGCCACAGATCATCGGCAGCTATGTCCGCCCTCTGGTTGTAGCTGTTTCGGGCAACAGCAGACTTCTCCCTGAGTCTCAAGATGAGTTCCTGGTCCTCCATCAGACACGTATTCCAGTTGGATCTTTTGGTCACTTTCCTCGTGCACTTCGTGGCGTTTACAGCGCATTTTGCTGGTTGCATGTGGATGTAAGCAGCCAATCTGGCACGCTCCCTCTTCCGTTTCTCGAGAATCTCCGCCACCTTTTTCATCTCCTCTTGCTCCTTCTGCATTCTCACTTCTTGCCATTTTCTGAACAGCACACAGACAAAAATGTGTCAAAGGATTATAAGACAGTAAAATTGACGTGCTTGCGGAAAGCTCAATTCAACTAAGATGCTTGGGCACTGCGTTCTAAGATGGTGCGCATGCATCACTTCTCTGATCTACTTTCTGGATACAGTTTCTGAAAATGTAATAAATCTTCTGTCCGAATTGAGCCATGGGAGACTTCTCGACAGCATGATTAGACAGACATCGAACCTTTGCCTCATCACTGTGGTTTTGGCGTTGATGAGCCACCGCCTTTCCATGCTCGCACGCACGCCTCCAACTCCCATTCCACCATCTCGAAACTTCTCACACCCCATCGTAATGCCTCTATAAGAGTCCAGCCATTTCAGGAGCACCAGTCTTCTTCCCTGAGCCCAACGAATCTAGGGGAGGGTAACTTCCATTCATCCTCCACGAGAACAGTTACAGGCGAGTCTCGCTCAGATTCAGCAATCCAGCAACCACGTGGCTACAAATAACCTCCCACAAATTCGAATGTACACCTTCATTGACACCAGCCAGGCATCGGCAATTCCGAGAACACCCAACCATGTAACAGAACTTGTATTACCAGAGTATTGTCAGCTCCACGAGATTTGGTTGCATCGTTCAGCGAGCGTTTGATATAATTTTAGCGTGGAGAATGAATGACTTAGGAATTTGAAGCAGTTCTCGTAGGGGCAGCTTCGAAGTGAGGATTATTATGGCAGCAAGTCGCTGTCGCTCAGGATTGGCTGGCTGAGCAAGATGCAACTTTTCTTCCGCCTCAAATTTCAAAATCGTTACACATTGTCCGACACTTCGGTTACCTCTACCAGAGACATAGATCGATCGGGTCCACCATAATGATAACGATTCCGGAGCACCCAGAGATCGTGGCGAGGACGACTTCAAAACATCCTCAGCGTCGCATTAATACGAGCTTATGTTCGAGCAAAGTTCACAGCAGTTAGCCACATTCGACAGCCGACGAGAAATAATCGGCAGGGGATCTGGAGAGCACGCAACGGAAGGAAGTGAGAGACACAGTTTCCATGTGGGCATCGAGCAGCGATGGTGAGCTTCAGATCCACAACATTTCGACTTCCCGTGAATCAGAAACCTTCACTCGATCAATGACAACCCTAAACTATCGCGGATTTGGGCCGATCCGTGGGCCAGAGCGTGCAGCAGAGCCAGGCATCCACAGGGACGCTGGGGCCCGTTCGCGGCGGAAGACGTGCAGTTTGCACCGATGATGACAAAGGTAACTAACCATCCGGCTCCCATCCCCCTTCCCCGGCAGTTGCCCGTCGCCCAACCGGTCAGCGCAGCAGGACTGCCATTAGCTGCCGGTTGCGCGACCGAAAGTTGGCCTTGCTCCGATGTCGTCGATCGATCGATCGGCGACCGGGAACCGCTGGACAGCTGAACGTCCAGTCCTCGCTCCGACATCGACCCGCGGGACATTTCTCATCGAAGTGACCGGCAAATGTTCCTCTCCCGGAACCTCTTCGGAGTTCGGCCAATTCAGACGGCGTCACGCAACGGTACAAAGCGTCCCGAGGTCGACCCGGTTCCAGCATCGTCGCTCATTCGTTCTGCCTCCGTCTCTTCGACTCGACTCGCCCCTTTATTTGCAGTGGAAAAAAACTCAAAAACTGCAAATAAAGGGCTTAGTAATTTAGCATAAATGAAGGAAAATCCCCATGAAAGTAAATGGACAGGAACTATAAACCAAGTATATGAACTATGGAGGTTACTTTGTTAACCCACTGCACGAGCATCCCCATAAGCAGCACATGAACAATAGGTAACACATTGCCCGGAGTATAATGCCCGAAAAGTAATGAAATTGAAAACCATGTAATCTAGTATGGTCAGATCTACTGTAATCTCTCATCATGAACATATATACTAGAATAAAAGAAAGATGTCTTATATTTGCATGTGATATAAATTGTCTCACATCCATGAAGATGATTAATCAAATCCTTTATAAACTATCAAAATATACACCTCCTACTTCATCCGTGTATTCTTTTAATGTAAAGGAAGATGATATGATAAAGTGGATATATGTATTTATAGTATTTATTAAATTCAGGAGTATCAATATCCTAATTATTATGAAAAAATAGAATTATAAAGACTGCGTGATTTTTGATAAAAAATTATAAGAATTAATTTATAAATTTAATATTATTTCAAAAAATTCATCATGTATGAAAAAAATAAAAAATAACATTAAAAATCCATTATTAAAATTTATCATTTTTATCTCAAAATTTGATGGATAAATTTAAATTTAAAAAATTCATAAGATCATATATGTCGTAATATTCATGTAAATACATTCAAAATGACATGTTAAAACTTTTTATAATTATAATTTATATAATTAATGGATTTTTCAAATCGACTATTTTATTTCATGTAGAGATTTCATAACTCTTTCAATCAATATAGAAAATTTTAAAACTCATTGTAGCAAGAACATCACTCTTAGACCATGTGCATCAACCTTTATACTGACAACTTAATCCTTACATATATATTCTTCAACTTAGATAGGTAACCACAAGTTCAAGATGTTATTTAGAATCTAGCATTAGATCTAGCTCATAGAATTTAATTCTGTCATAAAATTTCAGGTAATTCATGCTATTCAAATGTCTTCGTCCTGCTGATTTGAAACGATTCCGTATCGACAAGTACTCTTTGAAGTGCATATGTGACGATAATGTGACAGAAATCTGTACCTACCCCGTAGTATCAATCTCCTCGCCGAGTTTTTTCGATTTTTGAGTCTTACTAGATCTTGAAAACATTTATCCGAACTGGATCAGACACCAGCGAGAGAGGAAAACTTGCAATACTAAATTTGACCTTAAGTACGTTTCATACACTTCATGCCCTCATTCCTGCGGATGTAGATCATGCAGTTTCGGTGTGCATTGTTTTTACTTTCTCCAATGAAAGGGTAGTAAATGCTCTGTGCATAGCTTCAAAAACCACTTTGAAGATATGAGCATCAACTACGAAAATGCTTCGATTACTGATAAGGACTCGGCGGTGCTTCATTGGTGGACCCTGTGAAATGTTTGGCACTCCATTTCCACAAATACCGAACATTTAGGATAGCAGTACATCGCTGTAATCTGTTTTTATCTTTGTTACCTCTTAATGTAATTATTAAGTAACAAACACACTCAAGAACTATGACGATGACGCCAATTTTCTAACATCTCACTGAACGACTTTTATTTAATTCCTCTCCGAAGATTGAAAACTCCCTGTCATGGCTATGGTGAAATGCAGATATATCGAGGTTTGATAATTCACAAATTCTCCCTTTTCGAAAGAGAGGGGTAAAAGTAATTTACATAATCAGCCCCGGGCCATTACTTCGTTATTTACATCGATAGAGATTTCAAAAGAGAGTACAATAGCAAAACCCGTTGAATACAGTACAACTAGAATACGTCACCAACTCCACTGACGATCATACAAAAGCCATGATGAACAGACAAGACAACCAGAGAATCGTGCTTTGATTGGCTCAACCACTACACCACATGTTCGATGGTTGAGTACATGACGACAAACATGAAATGCTCAGAGTCACATGTCCATGAACTCGTCGTGACGAAAAGAGATACGTCACCAAAAGCAAACACACTCGAGAGTGCAAGCACATGTGGACGCATCATTCAAGCTCGATTACCGGTGAAATATTTCAATAAGACTCGGAGCAGTCCCGATACTCTTACAGCCACTAGGTCCTACAAAAAGAAAAGGAAACAACAATGCCGACCTTCGGAGATGGAAGTAAATTCTGCAACTGAGTTTAACAACACTTTTCCTACCAGGATCGGCAAGCAAGGGCAACATATTCAGGCTCTACATGTGATGCTGCGCGAAAAGACGGCCCATTCCGGCCCACATTATGATTACAACTAAGACTGAGTACAATTAATGTATGTCCATGACAATAATCCTGCTGGGGTCCTCTCACGAGACTCCCGAGAACTCTCACCTTCGATCGAGACAATCTTAAGCAAGGTCCAATCCAGATACAATTCGTAGTTAAATGCCAGACCTCGAAATGTTGTATGGCCAGATCTACCAAGGTTGGCTCACCTTTATATTATGAAACGCAAAGAAATTCGCATTCCATCGCTTACTGCGACGCCACCACCGACCCGGACTCAGCGAAACAGTAGTCTGGGAACTCGAATAGTTCCTGGCTTGGAGGTCCGACCTGGAGGGTCTGTGGGTGGAAGAAGGTCATCGAAGTTTCCGAGGAGCCGTAAGCACATGGCAACGATCCATCCACTGTCTCCGACCAAGTCTGTGATGTGGGAAGATGTACAAACTTCCTGCAAAGTCCGACGCCTGGCACGGACTCAACTCCGACAAAGGTCGACTCCGATGTCCACTCCGGTGACAAAGATCCGGGGCCGAAAGCTCCCGATATGCACTTCTCTTGCGATGGAATGTACACGTAAGTTCTACCTGGAACCTGGAGCTTTAGGCAAGGCTCGTCGGTGAAGAAATTGCCGCAGAACGTCGCGTTTTCACCGTAAGCCACAACCTCACGCTGGTTAATCCAATCGTAGGCCAAATAGCCCGTCACAGCACCCGACTGCGAAGTGAAGCTGATAGTGAACTGTGCAGGCCAAGCCTTGGCAACAAACCCTTTCTGCTCGGCAACAGCAGACTGAAGAGTTCTCCTCCTCATTCCAACACCACGATGAGACCTCACGAAGCCGGGATTCTTAAACATCGGGGGCATATCGGCACTGATTTCATCGCTCGTTTCTTCCTGAGAAGAAAACCGACCGCGATTCGTGGCGCTCCTGCGAGCGTGAATGCCCTTCCTCAGATCCACACTCCTCTCCTTCTTCACCTGCGTCTCGTGCAACGAGCGTGCGAAAATCTTCCCCTCGACCTCTTCCTGTCCCTCGGACATACATTGCGGCACGGCTGCGGCCAGAGCCAAAATCACGCAAGCCACGACCGAATACCTGACACCTTCCATCGATCCTGCCATCAGCCGAAATCTCTCGCTCAACAAAATCTCTCGTTCCTTCCCTCGCTCCCTCGCAAGCGCTCGCTCTCTGTCTGTGTCTCTGTGTTCTCTCTCACTCTCTGTCTCTACCGGGCTCTCTTCTCCCTCCGACCTCTCTCGAAGACTGTCTCTCCGCACCGAGACCTTTGTTCGTGCTGCACACGTAGCTTTAGCTCGGGAGGGGTCCCAAAAGCCGCGAAATGAAATTGAACTGGGGGCCCCAAATCTTCAATTTGTCGTGCTCCGCGATTAGTTCGACGCCCTGTCGGGCTGGCAGCCGAGGCCCGCGGTCGCTGATCGCGGGTTCGCTGACGGGGCCGCCACGCCGGCGAGGGAGTGCTCGCCCGTCGGGCGAGGGTTTCGACGGGCCGCGAGCTCTGGCGCGGGCTGCGGGTCGACTACGACTACGACGGCGACGGCGGGAGGTCACCGCCGCGTGATTTGCGGTAAAGGGGAGCCAGCGCCCGAGGGAGTGATGGGCAAGTAAGGCTGCTTTACGTGGTGAGAGTGCGCCGATCGGATGGATTCGTGGGCAGTCGCGGTCGCCCGGCATCCCCTTCCGTCCGTCGTCGTCGTGTGTGCGACGTTCTGACTCATCGTCCGTCGTTCATTTGCAGATTCATCGTCCCTCGCCCTCGTTACCGTCATCTTCGCGTTGTGGCTCTTTCGTATCAGAATTAATATTTTCTTGGACTTGCACCATTTCCCGCTTTGGCTTTTCGATTTTAGCATTTTCATTAACTTTTTTGAAGATGCAATTCAATTCGAGCGCCTAGTTAAATTTAAAATAAAAATAAAAATTGAAAAACTGGCCGAATCCTACCTAGTAAAGAATGATTCTGCACATCTTGAACGGATTTGCAATATTCACGAAAACACAGAACTAACCAACCTCTGCCCAAAGAAAAATCTTGTGCCGTGTTGGGAAAGTAAATCACACGTAATAATGTGGATTGATACATTAACTAATAAATCCCACTTTACGGAGAAGACCACTTACGTTGTCTTTAAGTTTTAATGATTAAAGACGAGTTCCTTGAGAGATTAGAATTATATAGTATGCTACATAATAGATATCATTACACCCAAATAAACTGGATATCATAGAAATATATGATCACCTCCTTCAATTATTACCTCATGAACTACAGTGGCAATCATTCAGAGTTCCTAGAGCACGTATGTCTAAAATACCCGACACTGAGCTTTTGTTAGAATATTCAGGGATACGACTCTGAATCAGGATAAAAGTCTTAATTTTCTCATTTTACTTGTGTTTAAGTGATTCCAGCGTGAATTTTGTATATCTTACTTCACGCCGAAATCGCAGAAAGGAATTTACGACATGTCGAGACTCCGACCTTATCACAACATGGCATCATTTCGTGTCATCTTAGCTGATGTGTTACTTGTCATGGCAACATGATGCTTCCGTCTTCAAAACACTGACGACGTCCAGATAATACGAAGAACAAATCAACAAACAACCTTACAGCGAACAAATCAATTTTTTAACTAGTAGCAAATAATATAGTTGATCAATTTTTTTATAACATGTGGTTAAACATACTGTGCTCATTTTTCCCTCATCCTTACTTGAAACTCTTCTATCAGAACATGAATTCCTGGAAGTATACAATGTAAATGAGCATGTATACATGTATTTTTATTCAATAATATTTTTAAACATTTCATTTTTGTAATAACTACTAATTTCATCTTCTATATTATAAAGACTGTTTTTTCTAATGAACGTTTTGAAGTTTTTATTTTCAAAGAAAGATTTCCTTTTTTTTCATCCGCCTTCGATGAAGATCAACATTTTGTGCAGTCCATTTGGAAACAACAACTGTTAGTCACTGTCTGGTCTACATGTGCAAAAGGCTACGTACACAAGCGCTACACCTCACATTTGAAAATTGTGTCTCATACATGTGTAAGAAGATATGACATGGATACTTTATGTACGGCAAATGTGTATTCAAGGGTGTATTCAAAGGTGTACCAAGCTTCATCATGTGCACCTATCTGTTTCACATTCGTGTGTACAGTATATACATGGGAGAATAAACTTCATGTGTGTTAATGATGGACAACACATACTTGAAATGATCGCTTGTTCTTATTTCATAAAAAATCCGATACTATTCTATGTCATGATACACAATGAATTTGAAAACTGTATAATGAACTACTGGAAATTTCCACTCTTAATTTAAAACAGAATCTAAAATTTTTTTCGATTGTAATAGGTTTCTACGTTTTCTCGCTCTCTCATGCGTGATAATTTTATTTTATCAGAAATAGAAAAAAACATAGATGTTTCTATTACAGTGTAAAGATAACAAACTGTAAAAACATAGAACAGTGTAAAGATTATCTACATCAAGTTTTGAACTTTTGTATAATTGTGAGCTCACGTTGTACAGGAAAAAACCTCGCATGTCAAATTGAGAAATGATAACGACTGATTTTACAATGTTCGTATATAAAGAAATATCAAAACAGGAAAAAAGGTTCATGTACTTAGTAAATGAGGCTTTTATTACTTCACTGATTCCTTTCAATTTTCTGTATATCTTTAAAAAAATTATTGTAAAGAATAAACATGACATAAATAATGAAGTGATAAGTCTCACATTTCTCAACTTGAAAATAACAGATAAGATTTTGGTGAACATAGGCGTGTTTTAAAAAAATTGAATGAGAAAAAACATCTGACGAACATTACATCTGTACAATATATAAAATATTTATTAATTTTCTTTATATATTATGTAAATTAAAAGCATTTATGTTGATAGTGAATTATACCTCAATCCTTTTGAAGCTTTTCGTAAATGAATTGATGTATGAAATAAATTAAAGATATAAGCTATTCATTTTACATGGATATAGAAAATTATAGTAATTATTGATTATTTATCTTAAAATAAGAGATATATATCGAGAATCTTAGAAGTCGCCTCCAATACAAATCCAAACTTACTTGTAATTGAAGATACTTCGTAATTGAGGGTCTAGACAATGGTTGAGCTGCATGTTTTATACTGTAAGCTGATTACAGAATGAGAGTTTGATCCAGGATATGAAGACGTCATCGAATTTGAGTCGAATATTCAGAATGATCTCTAACATGTACATATGAAGGAAAATTGCACAAGAGTACAGTTTTAGAAATTTAAATGTTACTCTATGCACATATCACGAGTATCTAAAAGATCGCTGTTACGGTGGGACACCAAATCAATAAGTACAGAGAGAATCTCAACGAGCTGAAGGTCCGGGCACTACCAGAAGATAAGAAGCTTCGTGTCAATATCAACAGAAATTAAAATTCGGCATCCGGGGCCAAAAGGGGCTGGAGGTTAGGTTACGTGATTATTTACGCCAGCAGTCCGAGTCCAAGGGACATGAGAGAGTAATCTACGACCATCATTCTATTGGATTGTATCCGGCTTCCAGATTGCGCGCGGAACCGCGCTGGAGCCCGAATCTGCCACTCTTTCCGAGAATCCAGATTGCGCGCGCAATCGCGTGCGTGGAGGTCTGAGGCAGCAGGAGCATCATTCTCGATCGTTTCCTTGTATACGGGAGCAGGATCAGCGCCTCAGGCCCTTCCGAGGACAGAAGCTCAGCGACCAGTCAGACCGAGACCGCCCCGCGAGAAGAGCTATGGCGATGGCGTGTGCAGCAGCTGCTGCTGTGTCGTCTTCGGCTGCTTTCGTCTCCGCTTCCAGCCGAATCGCGCCGGCTTCTCCTGCTTCTTCCTCCAATTCGCTGGGCTACCGGGTAAGTTGAGCCTCGCACTCGGAAGACTCGTTTCCACGGTTATGTCACGGATAACATTTTAAACTAATGATGCAATTTCCTTTTCTGTCGATGCGCCTTCGATGACTTTTTGACTGCGAGCTCGACCCAGGTGTGGTTAGGGACATCCGACTTGCAATTTCGCTTCACTACTGTCTAAATTGGGGTCGAGGATGGAGCCCATGAAGTGGAGATGACAATATCTTGAAATATGCGAAGATTCTTTTTAGCTACTAGCTTTTGAATTGAGCTCATATGCTGAAAATCGAATGAACACCGTGCGGAAATTTCGAATTGTGGCTCTGATGCGTTGAAAGAGATTTGGGTCTTGTACCCGTCGAGTCATGTTGGAAATTTCGCCTCAATTTCCTCCTCGTGCACAGGCTGTACAGGTCCGATGCGCCCAGGCTGAAGAGAAGGCCAATGCCGTTTCCAGGAGGGGTGTGTTCTCCTTCGCAGCATTGTCTCTCTTGCTGGCAGCGTCCGAGAAGGCCGAGGCTAAAGACATTCCTCTATTTGGAATCAAGAAGAGATTGGAGCCACTCGAGAAAGCAATCGAGAGTGAGGTGACAATGATCGAGAAGGAGGGTTCCGATTTGCTCAAGCTGGGAGAGAAGGAAATTGGTGATATGAAGAATGCGATTCAGGGAGCGACGACCACAGCCACCAAAATTGATGTGGGAGGAAATGCGGGACTATCTGAGGGAATCTCGCCCACGGTGCAAGCAGGAGGTGTCGTGGGAGCCGAGCTGTTCGCAGTGCTGGTCGCGTCCAGCGTTGTGAACGGTCTGATCAGCGTCCCTTCCAAGTAAACATGTCGCGTCGGTAGAAACGCAATTGCCTCTCGAGTGGTCGGGCGCTGTGTCGCCCGCACTCGAAGGGCCCCCAATCCAAGAACAACGAAGCGTGGATCTAGATTCTTCCTGCTGGCTCCGGGTCTGGTTTTCAAGATTCGGACCACATAGTTCTGCTCGCATTCGAGTAGTTGTAGAGAGGACTGCGGAACTGTATGTACCATTATGGCATTGTGTTATATGGCCCTTCAGCCGGGGTCACGTCAATCAAGCATCTCCAAGAAAATTGAACGTCCTCTGATTTGTGCTGTCTCGGGGAAGTTTTTAAATTTCTTTTGGCACTTTCGATTTCTGGGCTTTTTTTATCGTCTTAGAAGTTTTTCTTCATCTGTGAACGTCGTGTTCGTGAAGCACCAACTCATAGCATGGAATATAAAATACGAAACTAAGCTTCGCCCTGAAACAAACTTTCAAAACCAAAACGGAGATTTTTTCGTGACAGTGACGATACGAAATTATGGTCAGAATAACCTGTAGCTACGATGAAACAGTATTTTCTTCAATATTTTTTTCTCGCATTGGCAAAGAGAACGAGAATACAGATGGAGTAGAGTAAGCTAATGGAATTTTGTATCGAACTGAAAGGTTGCTATTTACACACTTTTCGCTAGAATGGTGTAGATGGCTTGTTTAATGTACAAACTGGTTTTTTTTTTTTCTCCAGAATTTATCGTATTTTCACATGTTTAGACACCTAAGTGACTGATGAAAGGTCCTCCCAACATGTGTGATGTGTTACCAATCTCCACCATCGGGATTTGGTCGACGAAACAAATTTTAGTTGATGATTTGTTTTGCTGGTCGGTCAACTTTCCATTTGCAAGCGACTTTCTGGGTTTCTAGATTTCATATTTTGCTAATTAGTACTTGAATATTTTTTTTCTTTAGTTTGTGATCTAGTAAAATTTTTGAGATTATTTTTTCTATTCTCTAAATATTATTCTAGACTTTTGGTTTTGAATTTGTTTTTCATTTTTATCTTTTCAAATTTATAATTGCAAATTGGAATTTGTTTTTCAAATTATCATCAGATATACTATCAATAATTTAATTATTGTTCAAACAAATTTTTTTTACAGAAATTGAATCACAACACAAATAAGATTAAAATAATCTATATAATAAGATTAAAATAATCTATATATTTTAGAAAGTAAGAACTATCCTCCAGGAAATGGTTGTCGTGTACATTTCCATGTAGAAGGATGATTTTGGTTGGCGTCGTCTTCAAACTAATTGAATTGAGTTATATGCGATACTTTCAAAACATGTAATTTAACGTTTTCTTCCAGCCGGTTTTTCATTTCGAACCATCTTATCTAAATTGATGCTTTGGATGTTACAGTCACATTCTTCAAGCAATACAAAGTTTTTCTCAGCTGCTAATTTTGACTTAATCGCAATCTCTGCTATATTTTGTATTCTGTTTGCAATTTTCAGCTCGTTGACGTTTCCTTACTATTCTAGACGTTTTAGTCACAACGAACTGTTCCATACTGTTCTAGACATCTTTCCCTGTGTAGACGTTTGTATCACCCACGTGAGAATTGAAGCTAATTTTGATTCATCTAAAGAGTTATATAATATGCTCGTGCGCTTCATCCGACATCATCTTCGCTGGAAGTAGAAGTGATGCTCGACACTTGAATTCTGTTTTGTGAAGTATCTCTAGAAGTGCATCTCCAATTTTCAAGAACCAATGAGGTGAAAATATTCCATGGATATCTCAACCCAGTTATCGACGCATTCAAAAGAGTACGAAACAATCATGCAAGAGACTCAAAGAGAGCGAATTACTCAAAAAGCATCCACATAAATACAGGTTTAGGGTTCCGAGTCAAAATTGCATGTCCAATTTGTGTAGCTGCTAAATTATCATGGTCTCCTATGGAAACTTGCATTTCTACTGACCGAGTTCGGCCTTCTTCTTGGCCCACAGGCGATCCAAGGCGCTGTCAGCGTCTCCCTGGGCGCGGACGAATCCACAGAGGGCGAAGGTGGTGAACTGTCCAGTGTAGATTCCGTTCTCATCGACGTGTCCCACGTTGAGTTGGACCGAGGCATGGTCCTTCGACGTGATAAGTCGGTTGGTGGAAGAACTGCGTACGAGCAAAACGGTCAGATTTTCTTCGTCTCAGCAGTCGTTGAGATGATATTTGATCAAGATATTTGCCCCTGGTTTATCAAATTTGCCCCCAAGATTTAACAAAGAAGGATCCAAAACAAATGACAGTCGTGACAGGTCCTACGGTACAGAGACCTTGGGCCGTGGAACTAATCTGCGTGGTACAGCTGATAATCGGGCAGCTCGATCGTAGCAGAATAACAAAAGTAACCAAGAACGAGATCTTCAAAATTCAGAAGCACATCACTTTAAAGCACCAACGCATTCGACTTCAACCCCTCATCCGAGTATATGACTTTGGCGTAATGACCTAGACGGATAATTTACGACTGCGCGTTCAATCCGATGAAGATTGGATTGAAAAAATGATAGCGATGAAAAGACACAGCTCTCGTGACTCACCACTTCCTTGGGATGTACAAGTCTACATTCTCTCCTTCTTCGTTCTGCATCTTGGCTGTGAAGAAGAAATGCTGCGAACACAGAAATGAAGTTTAGAATTCGACTTTTCTAAGTCGATACACCAACTTTTGTGCCAACCTCTTCAGTCAAATCGACAAATCGAGAATGGCAATCACCGAGAACACGAAACTAACAGAAATCGTGAACGGGAAGCGAGACGTACCTGCTTGAAATTATGGGCAGGATTGAAATCGGGAGATCCACAGGCTTGCAGGATGCGAAAGGAATTCGAATGCTCGCGAAGCTGGAATAAGCATCGACCACACCGCGACTCGTCCTGAACCCTAATAGGAGATGGACCAATGCCAGCCGTCAGATCGCAGTCGAAGACCTTAGCGACAAACTACTGCACAGTCGTGGTCGACACTGCAGTCAACTGACTGTGTTCATGTCGACCAACCGAAAGTTGGCGAAATTACGGTACAGTAGACCGCAAACGATGAAGTCCGGAGACTAGCAAACTCTGTGCCTATACAGTCTGTCCTGACCTCCGGAGCCCGTGCTCGAACCGGCAACTACTGGGAAACAATTCTCGGCTTTTAGGGTTCGGCTTCGCTTGACCGCCTGTGAGCCGTCAGAATGTCACTTCCTCCCATTGTATCTGTTATAAGAGCACCGTTTGACACAAGAGAATAATACACACAAATAGCCGCATATTCAATACTACAAAACGACAAATTTCAAATATATTAGGCTTAATAGACATATTTACCTCTGGATGCTATATGGGCGTAGTGACTACGCCGTAGTACCATCCTAGATGCTTTTTTCCATCGATGTACTTCTCGATGTGGTCTAATTTAAAGCTGAATTATTCAGATTTTCTTTGGCTAAGACAAAAAATAATAAGCGGTTGCCGTGGAGCCAATTTTCACATTTCTGTCCACGTCCAATGATCATACTTATAAGAGGAAAACCGACACCGGGCGGAATGATTTAGTCCGAGAGCATTCGTTAGAAGAACGTGCCCTTGTTAGATATCCCTCCCTGGCAGTCCGTCGGAGGTCGAGGGGATGGATGTAGGGCCAGGCGGCATAAGATCTGAGTGCAGAAAATATCAGCCGTGCGTGCTGACTGGAGCGAGGCGCGGGCATAGTAGCCGGTGTTCTTGAGAGGAGCGGCACTGAAAGAAGCGGCGCGAGCGGGAAAGCACGAGCAGCGCCTCCGGCTTCGGTTCGCAGCTCTGTGATAGTGGCGTGGGCGCTGCTGACAGTGAGGAGCAGCCCTCGTTCACGCCTCTAGAGGACGCGCGAGGCCGGAGTGTTCAATTTTCTCACGTCTTTCGCTCGGTCGGTCGTCTGCGGGCTTCGTTCGGATCGTTGGGTTCGAACGTTCGTGGGGCGAACGGAGTCTGTGGCGACATTTGTCCTGTAGGAGCGAGTGAGTGCCTGTTCCGTCCGTGACCGATATCTTGCCGGGCCCTCTGCAGATGTTGCGAATTGTGTCTCTGTGTCCCATTAGTCCCCGAGTGTGGATATTAGGACTTCTTTCGTTGTTCGTCGAGATTGAGTGTTGATGGTTGTTTCGCTCTTACCGTACAGAGCTCTACGGTCGGATTCTTCGTTCATCTTCACTTTCACTTCATCATTCATTCGCTAGTCATCCATCCAGTCAGCTCTCACTGTCGCCGTGATTTTCAGATTGCGTTCTTCATGTTATGATAGAGTTTGAGAAAGGGTTCTACATCGGGAGAAAGAATTTCCAGAGGGCATTGATTTGTTAGTCTTGCCCTCCTTTCTGCATCTTTCTTCGGTCTCGAGGCGGGTGCGTTTCGTTTGTTATCTATCTTCCTCCGAATTTGTGTTGATTCTCGATATTTTTTGGTTTTGTGTGGCAACAGGTCGATTAGCCGATCGAATCTACGTACACTGTCGGAGAAGCTCCAAGGAATTGCACCTGCAACCGGGGTGAGTTGTGCGATGAATGGGCACGTAAATGGAGGACCACCTGCAGCAGGGATGGCGCCCTCCAGAGGTGTCCCGGCGGCTGGAGGTGCACTCGCCAAAGGAGGAGGAGTGGACAAGGCTGCCGACTTCGCCAACTACTTCTGCACTTATGCATTCTTATATCACCAAAAGGAGATGCTCTCTGACCGCGTGCGCATGGATGCGTACTACAGGTCGATCTTTCGTAATGCGAAACACTTCTTAGGAAAGGTAAGCCTGATCATTGTCATGCAGTTCTGTCCAAGTGATGTTGCCACCTCTTGGTTTCTGAATCGTAGTCTTGGAGTATGCGTGGTCTCGGGCTTGTTGTGCATAATCGCAGTTTCTGCGCCAAGACATATCACCACACGATGTTGGATGTTTGGTCTTAGAACTGCGGCAGATGTTGGTCTCTGTGTCGTGATCAGGCTGGAAGTTTGTCATTATTTTTAAGACTTTTGATTGATGATCGTTATCCCAAAAGCCTGCCCGAGAGCACTTCGATCAAGTTTCGGGAGATTGCACTTTCCCTCACTTTCCACAGCAGCCACCACTTTTATGAATGTGCACATGGTTGTGTTTGCCAGCCCCTTGCCTTCGAACACTCCCTTTTGCAGGGCCGTTTGTGTTATGTCGTGAAGTGTCATCATCATACATAGTGGAGTGAAGACTGGTTCGGATGAGCAGTGAGAGTGTTTACATGTGAGGATCATGTGTTTCAGTTTGTCTTTCTTATCTTTCTGGAGCAGCCCTCACACACTCCAATTAATTATAAACTGGCCTTTTTTAAATCCGGTTGCAACTCCGTGTCGTTCGTTCCAGCCTTCTGCCAGTCTGTACCCACGGATACGCTTATTCAGGTCGCACGATGCAGTGACTTTCTTGAAAATCACTTGCTGATCAGGCCTTAATGTCATTCTTTCCTTCTGTTGAGTGCCAATAGGACTAAGTTTCTTGCACCTCTTTTCCCCTGCACTATCATTGTAATGTATAATGGTGATTGATATATCTGCATCCTCTCTTAGATTGTACTTACCGCTTTGGCTGACTTTCTAGAGGTTCATGCATTGTGATATGAGTGCCTTTGTGTGTGATGAAGACTGTATTGGACGTAGGGACAGGCAGTGGCATCCTCGCAATTTGGGCCGCCCAGGCTGGTGCCAGAAAAGTTTATGCCGTCGAAGCTACTGTCATGGCTAGACACGCTCGGTCACTTATAGCTGGCAATAATGTCGATCATATTGTCGAAGTTATCGAAGGTGCCATCGAAGACATCACTATCCCTGAGAAAGGTATGTTCCAGAGTTTTGAAAGTTTGTCGCTTGCACATTTTGCCTGAGGACAAGTAAACTTCTTTTGTCCTGAGTGGTCAGGTTCTGATTCTCTTGCAAATTACTCGTTTCCGTTGATCTAATACCTAGCAGTATGTGAGCGTGGCTATTCGAGATTAGGTGTAATCTCTTCATAGAAGACAAGTTGCTTTCAGAATTTAAGACTTTCAGTATCATCCTATCAGGTCCTCATCCTGGAATGCAATGTTCAGATTGACATATTTTTTGCACAGTATAATTGTAGCGTGTTGGTTCCACGGTGAGGTTAGGTGTATATTTATCGTAACCCTCTGCTGTGCTGGTGAAGCGTTGCTTTACCAGGGTTGTATTTATAACGTATGCGGCATCCTTTGCTGAGCAGTCGACATTATCATCTCGGAGTGGATGGGGTACTTTCTCGTGCGGGAGTCCATGTTCGACTCGGTGATTTATGCCCGTGATAAGTGGTTGAAGCCAACTGGAATCATGTACGTTGACGAAGACCTGCTTTTCATTTGAAACTTTAAGATTTTCCTGACGTTGAAGGGTGTCAGCTCCGTGGTTAGCTCAGTCGTGAGTTCCGAACATTGTCAAGCAAGAATCTGATCGAGGTGTCTCCAGGTACCCGAGTCATGCGCGGATGTGGGTTGCTCCAATGAGGACAAGCCTCGTCGAACATAAGCAGCAAGAATTTCAACATTCCATGGCAGATTGGGGATGCTTCTTACAGGATACCAGTGATCATTACAACGTTGACATGAGCTGTCTGTCCAATCCCTACAAAGAGGAGCAAACAAAATACTTTTTGCAGGTATTTGCTGTTTATGGATATAGTGAGATGTTGCACCTGCTTCCGTTCAGTCTGTAAAGTTAACGAAACTTACAGAAAATAAAAGTTTATTCTGCCTTTTTTTCTTACAACGAAAGTTGATTTGACGGACATTTTACAGACTTCGATGTGGAACAGTCTGTACCCGAATCAAATAATTGGCCAACCGGTTATTATTAAGGAATTTGACTGTCTTACTACAACCATGGAGGAGGTTTCGAGTGTACGATCGTCATTTAAGTTGCCCTTTCACCCTGGGCATTCAAGATTGTGCGGATTCGCTGGTTGGTTCGACGTCCATTTCAAGGTAGGTCGTATCCGTTGTAAACTACTAGTTTTCATTACAGATAAAGCTTTGTTATTAATTTAGCTGGGTTGTTTCTAAGATAGGTACTCCTGAGCTGACTATGATCCTTCGTTTGTTTTCAGGGTAGTCCAACCGATCCGGCAGACCATGAGGTGGAGTTGACTACTGCTCCCAGCACCGACGAAACAACCCATTGGGGGCAACAGGTATAGCTATTTCATCAAATTGTAGCAGCGGAATGACTTCTGTGTTTGCGAGTAACCTTCAGCTTTGAATACTGTTCAATACTAGCGTATAATGTGTTATTCGCGTGATTGACTGATCGTCGCATTTCTTCCTGAACTTTCCAGGTCTTCCTCCTCCATCCACCTCTTAACCTGCAAGACGGTGATATTTTGTCATGTTCTCTTGATATCACCCGTTCAAGAGATAACCACCGTCTTATGGACGTGAAATTTGTTCACCAATTGGAACGAGCATCAGGTGAAAAAACCCCTCTCATAACTTCACCCTACTTCATCGAATGATCGTTCAAACGATCGACTTTTGTCTATCCAGATTCAAGGTTATCTCAGACTGGATGTCTCCAGGAGCCATTCTGTCAAGTTCTAACCAACAGGATTGATTAAAATTCTGAGAACTGCCTTAGCACATGCCAAGGGACTGGGGTCTGTGACGAAGACAGACTTTGTCACCTATCGTCAGTCTAGGAACTTTGTACGGATATTTTTGGAGAATGTATAATTAACATCAACCCCTTCAATTACTTGGAAGCGAGGTGATTTGGCCTTCTCAGATGCACTTTCCCATGGTCATTGTGTAAATCACGACTTATTTTGGATGAGGGCTCACAGTTTGCTTCGAATTGAACAACGGACAGTCAAAGTGATGTTTTCAAAAGGTTCGAAAAGCAAACGGTTCATGTGCCTTCTCCCATCATTGTCGAACTTATGCATCTTCTGAACCTATGCGTTTTGTCGGAATAGTTTCTTTTGAAGTTTGATCACATTAGTGAAGGAAATATTCGAATCTTGTGCGCATTTGGAAGTCCAAAGGAGACCAACGTGTAAGTTCGGGCACATGTACGAAGGGAACATTGCATAACTTCACCAATCAATTATACTTTTCTATCAGGAATAACTGTCATTTACAGAATTTTCTTTAGTTGGTTATGAAATTTCTCGATCGTTTGGTTCGTCTGTACATACGAACTCACTATACTCCGTACCAGAGTAAATACTTCAAGTCCCGACTATCTGAGATTATTCTCCACTTAACATGCGGTTCTGCAAGCTCTCGATTCCGCACAAGCTTCGGCTGATTGACACTTTGTCGGGGAAGTCACCCGCCGGGTACACATATCAAGCTTTGAGCCTGAAACTCTTCGGAAACTTTAATATTATTACAGCCCAGTGAAAATCTCCATCCTCGTACTCAGAACGTTATCTAAGTGTTCGCCAAACAGTGAAGAACGTACAAGCGCCCGACGTTGTGTATCGACAACTTCGAAAACATCCTATTTTGGACAAGGTAATGATGAAAGTCACTCTAACTGCTGACCGCCACTAGAGCGTAAGGCATCGCGAGAAAACCGATTCATACTGATTCCCTTGAGATGTGAATTGTCCTGTCCTCAACCCAGGTATGAGAGGCCATAAGAGACAAAGACTGTAGCATAGCGAAGCGAGCTATTCCTTGTAAATAAATGAAGCCGTGGGACCCAAAGGGTCAACAGTCTGAAAAACACAATATTATTGTCGTTGTCCGCATAATATCAATGAGACTAAATTGTTTAGCTCATTACATATTCATGGAACAGGTTTAATCTATGCTGTAACCTTAAAAAGTCTCTCTTTTAGAATGTAAAAGATCAATTAATCAAATCAGATGTTATTATGAGGATATTTGATTTGGATGAATTTAAAATTTACTAGATGATCAAGACGTTATATCGTATCACCACTCCGTAGTTTTATTTTCGTTCTACAAGGTTTCTGCTTGGCTACCCTAGTCTAGAGTTCAGGTCTTTAAACAAACCTGAACTCTAGCATGATGGGAAAATCTTGCTGAAAATACAAACATTCCCATTAACATTAAACACAAGTCATTCACTCAAATACACAAGCATGAGTCATATCAATTTTTCCATACAGAAATTTTTCATAATTTGATGTATCATTGCATGTACTTCAAATATTTGATGTTCCATCCACGAAAAGGGAAAATTTAAAATTTAAAATTAAAATTTCTACAACTCCTAAACTGTGTTTACACAATTTAGGAGTTGTGGAAAAATTGTTGACGTTACATCATAGACCAAGGTTGTTAACATGAAGACTTTTCTAAATATACCAGAAGGTACTGATGTGCATATATCTTGATGTAATTTATTTCAAAAATTCATGTTGAAAATTATATATTTCAAGAAATTTTCAGAAATACAATATGAAACATGTATTGAAATTAAAACTTAAGATCTAGAAAAATACTGTTTTAGTTCAAATAGATAAAAAAATCATTCAACTTACAACATTTTACGATTGAGAGATTGAACATTCATGTTTGGTGCAAAGTTTTTATATTTAATATATTATTGTAAAATTTGATATTCACATTAATTCAACATACTGTCTTGAATTATAATTGATTGTATTAGCATAATTGTATGGCTAGATATTCATATAGTTTCAAATTATTTGAAGAAATTAAGATTTTGACACATAACTTAATTTTTAAGAAAACCTAAGTTTTTTAATCATTCCATTTCTGATCCTCTATTAGGTTTCTTGAAAATAGAAATTATGAAAGTACTAAGTATATCAAGTCGGTTCTTCTGGTCTGCATTTTTTCGTTATGAATCGCTAACAATTGATATTAGTGCAAGCGACTTTCATTTCATGCCGTGACCTGTTTGCATTATATTAGTTTTGCCCCCAATTGTTTGTGCGTTACTCATTTCTGCGACACTTCCTTCTGAGTACAATCTTCTGAGGATTGATGCCGGATTTGGAAAAAGATCTTTTTGTACGCAGCATAAATAAGGCTTGAACAATTTTTGTAGAGTATCGAAGGAAGCACAATCAGATTTCCGTCACAACAAGAATTGGGATCTTGTTGTGACGGAAGGAGACGTAGAGCCAAGGGAGGGATGGCCGACTATGTACCCTAATTGTCATGCTGTGCAAGATGAGACAGCGAGGCTCTTATCAGAGTAAACATGTATTCGCCACACACAGATTCTAAGGTTTAGTAGATATTCGCAGGATGAGATTCGTTTTCCAGCTGGAAGATTGTTGTAGAACAGACGTTTTATTTGCATTCATGGGTTTTCCACGAGTCGAATTGGATTGAAGGGAGCGTGGAATTCTTGGACCGTGTGGATGAACACCTGAAGGAAATCGCACTGGTGCCCACACCATTCCTTCTCCTACATGTGGCTTGTCGGCAACTTAGACATCTTGAGAGGTATCCCTATCTCCCGAGAGATTTCCTCCATCTCTTGTTTAGAACCTCTGCTTCGGACCTCAGAGATCCCACGTATATGAAGTGGGTTGACGTACTGGAGGAGCAGTAACATGGATACAGTTTTTAAGAGCTACTGATGACTGCGCATCATAGAATTTCTTGATGAACTTTAGTAAACAAGGTTTTACACTTGTTTTACAAATGAATAAGCATTCTTCAATGTTTTCATTCTAGATGTTAAAAGTCAAAAGTTGCTATAATGTTTACTTTGCCTCATGAGGTGTTCATGAAAAATTCCACCAGCTTAGTAAACTCCGCCGATCAAATGACACTCATGCACAATTTAGAGGCTGGAAGGTACTCCTACTCTTTCGAAATAGAGAAAAGGCAGAGAGATGTTGCTGGAGGCTGCTCACGTCGGATGATCGCAGGCAAGCACTCAGGCACTCCCTCGACTGCGCAGAGCGGGAAATGATCACTGCTAGGTCGCCGGCCTCACGCTGTGCCTTCCTCTTCATCTCCGCATACTCCTCTGGCTTCCGCGGAGGAGCACAGCCCAGTAGTGTTGGAAGCAGAACAAAATTTTTCCAGCCATGCCCATGCCCCCTTTCAACTTCAAAAGGCATGCCCGTATTAAAATACTTACATTTTATGTTTCAGAAAACGAACTTCTGTGGAAATAAAGCACTCTTGGAAGAAAAACTGTTGAAAAGCTATCGAGATATGTATATATAGTTTCGTACATACAGGCACGCATTGTCTACAAGAATGCGAATAAGGCATGCCCGGAGAGCACGGGGCATGCCCTTTGAGGTTGTGCCTCCAACACTACAGGCCAGAGAATCGGCGCTCCGAGAGGACGTGCCTTCCACATGATCCCGGCGGTCCTCTGCCAGAGCCCCCAGCTCCTTCTCTCCTACTCCCGCTCGGGTCACAGGCTGCGGCTACGCTGCCCAGATGTGAGGTGTCCCATCAGAAGCAATTTATATTGTCTCCGTTTGAAACCTGGCGGGGCCTATAGTTTCTCACTGCGTGTTGTACGTTCGAGTGGCCATCTTCAGAAAGCTGTTCAATAGCGACCTTGCATATTCGTACGAAGAGTTTACATCTGGGAGTTAGTTTTTTTCTCTCTTAGGTTAGAGTTGGATTGTTTAAATTGTGTTTTTCAACCTTTGGACTCTTTGAGTAACACGAGCTTGATCTATTTACCATTTACCAATCTAGCAACTAGCGACACAGTTTCTCTTTCACCTACTCCGTTGGGGAGTTGTGGCTTACTTCTGTCACTCGTGGGGACGTCGTCCGATATCTACGTCGTTACTCCTCTGACTAAGTAGACGACTGTGAGACCACGGTAGGTTCTCGTGGTGCTTGTCTGTCGGCGTCCTTCTTCCGATTGAGGCTTTTGTCCCGATCTTCAAACCACAACGTGGCACGTGTTTAATGTTCTCTATCCTTGCTGGAATTCTCTTGTACGAATCTGTTTTGATTGTTTACTCTCTTAAACTCATTAGTTTTTGTTATCTTGAAGTACATATTTATCTATTTATGTCTCCGGGATCAAATTCCACCTGTCCAAGTTCTAAGCCGTAATAATCGGTGGAGTTTCTTGGTGATTTTACTTTCCACGAATTTTGGTGTGAAGTGTGCGTTTGGACTGAATATCATAATAGGTTTTTGAACTTGTACTGTACTTAGAAAAAAAATTTCATCCAGAATTTTTTCCACTAAAATTATAATTTGTAGTGAACACAGAAGTTATATGCGTTAGCAAGAAATTTGTTCTAAGTCGAATTAAACTATGTTATATTCGGAGATACATTCTGAACCGAAAAAAAATGTTTTGATATTTAATGACATTGAGCCAATTAAATTACCAATTTAAATATTACATTTCTACAATTTTTTCTTGATAAGGTTGAGGATCAATTGGAAAAATAACTTGAGAACCCTATCAAACCGTGCAAATGTATCTTCAAAGCCGAGATTATTCATGGACTAATAACATAACAATATAAATAACACAATTAAAATATATGAATTAACCAGATAAACTTATCTATAAATACTTTTAGCTAATGACATACCAACGATTTAATATATTTCTTCTCAGAAAGAATTTGAACTTAGAATATATTAACTTAATAAAATTCTGAATTTGAGAATGTGCTTTCAAGTTCAAGGAAGGAAAAGATTGCCGGAACTCCGGGCCTGGAAGAGGTAGACGTTGTTGACGGAGGGAACCCCAAGACCGTTAGCCCCCATCAACAGCTTCTTAGACCTGGTCCGCATGCCAGAACATGTTCCTTGTCCAGAGACAGATCCTCGTC